CACGTGGTGATGTACAGCTAGCGACTGATGATGTTTACATACTTTACGTGATGTACAGCTAGTGACTGATGATGTATATATAATTTACGTGATGTACAGCTAGTGACTGATGATGTTTACATACTTTACGTGATGTACAGCTAGTGACTGATGATGGTTACATACTTTACGTGATGTACAGCTACTGACTGATGTTGTTTACATACTTTACGTGATGTACGGCTAGTGACTGATGATGTATATATAATTTACGTGATGTACAGCTAGTGACTGATGATGTTTACATACTTTACGTGATGTACAGCTAGTGACTGATGATGTTTACATACTTTACGTGATGTACGGTTAGTGACTGATGATGTTTACATACTTTACGTGATGTACGGCTAGTGACTGATGATGTATATATACTTTACGTGATGTACAGCTAGTGACTGATGATGTTTACATACTTTACGTGATGTACAGCTAGTGACTGATGATGTTTACATACTTTACGTGATGTACAGTTAGTGACTGATGATGTTTACATACTTTACGTGATGTACAGATAGTGACTGATGATGTATATATAATTTACGTGATGTACAGCTAGTGACTGATGATGTTTACATACTTTACGTGATGTACGGCTAGTGACTGATGATGTTTACATACTTAACGTGATGTACGGCTAGTGACTGATGATGTTTACATACTTAACGTGATGTACAGCTAGTGACTGATGATGTTTACATACTTTACGTGATGTACAGATAGTGACTGATGATGTATATTCCGTTATTTTTATCTGACACATTCCACACTTCTGTGTATTTTTATTTGATTTTTTTTTTCATATTTAGTTCATCTTTATTTATACTTACAGAAACGATGTTACTTTGAAAAAGTGTATTGAAAATATACATTTCTCTTTAATTAAATAATTTTGAATATAATATACAAAGATTGTAAACTTTGTATTAGAAACCTATGTTACAATTTGTTACTGTTATCGATATCCCGACTTTTTTTCTGGTGAGTGAAAGAAAAATAATATAAAAAAAGTTATCTAAAGCCATTATTTTATTTTTTTTCGAATGTTGCCCTACGTCATCACTGTTTCTTTTTCCTCCGTAACAATGTGTATTACCAACACACTACATATATACAATATACAGGTGTTTTTATATAAAGCATTTAGATTAAGTGTTTCGATTACATACAAAATCATAAAGGGCACAGCGCCTAACCGAGGGTGGGGATGAGGAGAGGGGGCACGTGTCACCCCACATTGGACATTTTTAGCTAAAAAATTTCTCGTCTCGTTAGCTCACAGGATCTTTCTTACACTTGAAACCCCCCGGGTTCCCCCACACTTTTTAAAAGTTATACTTACGTGATAGAAGATGTCCGTATATTATTGAAACATTTCATTAACAGAATAAGAACAACGTAAGATACATAATGTGGTACAATTCAGGCTTGTCCGTGGTGACGTTAGTATACCTCGACACTGACACCGTTCGTAGCTCGACGTAAGCCTAGTCGATCTCCGCCAACGTAATCACCATCTTCCCCGCAGTAATCGTCACAGTTATTTAGGCACGCAACGTTATCATATCCGGTACCACTGTCTTATAGACAACGTCCTTCACATAAACAGTAGAATCAAACAGGGGGATCTGTAGATGGTATATCGAGGAAGAATCATTTCACGATTTTTATTTTTATAGCTGATTGGCTGCCCTGAATACGCTTACATTAATCGTAGCTTCTCGTGACCTTGATATACTGACCATGATTTGTAGCTGGTGTTCGTTTTTTCGACATTGGGGACGCACTTGGTTGTTACACAATACCCTGAAAAAGACCGGTAATTTCCAACATTATTACTTTCAGTTCGTTATTAGTGAAACATATCTTTTTGGGTAATATATCCTTAACTAAAAGCAACTTTCTGAAACATTTCCCAGGTTGATTTTCCATAACATATAGGGTAACGAATTGGACTGGGAGAGACCTAGAATAGTTTATTCTAACCGTTAGGCCTAAGATTAGCCCAACTAATTGAAAAGCCTCTTGGGCAGCGGCTTGTGGGAGATAAAATATAGATCTTAAATGTTATTTTTAAAAACCTTTGATTTTGAATCCACAATATACAAATCAAGAGAAATGTAGAAAAAAAGAGAAAAAAAAATATCTACAGTTAAACTGATTTTTATCACATATTATAGGCCTAATGGTTTCTAATGTTTTAACAGCCTTCTGCGTTTATGTAACTGTTAATACTTTACCATGATGCATGAAACACGGGAGGCATTATTTTGGTATGACGACTAGTCACGACAAAGAAGCCATTACTTAGGCTGCCCTCTAGTGGATGACATTACACGTAGCCTTTCTTCATCTCCATCCAAGAACGGCGTGGTAAAATTGTTGCCATTATGCATTTTAGTGTTTTGGGTAGACATGAAGTAGGCGTTATACTTGAAACGTGACGTTGTAAATTACTAATTCCATGCTTTATAACACATGATTTTTCTTAAATCTTCCGTTTTTTAACGTGTTAAATATTTCACGAAGTAGAGTTTATCGACAAGGAATCGCTTGAAAGCATAATTCAAAATTTCGTTGTGGTGTTATTGCTTTATGACCCCTCTGCCCTTATAAATGTTTGGACTTTAGAAGGATCCGATCCTCGGAATGCTGCTGTCAATCCGCGTCTGTGGCTGGCGTGTACAGAAATAATTACATATTCAGGCCTATTGTTTTGACTATGATGGATAGGTGTCAAAGTTCAGTGTGTTTGTTTCCTGCTAAGCCTAATGTCGGCATCACTTAGGTTCACTGGGAAGATCATTTTATATCAATAAAAAAGAAAAAAAAAATCATTGTTAGCCTTCAGACCTTTGAATAAAAGTTTTATTATAACCCGTACAGATGGTCACGAATACACAGAAATACAGTGAAAGAAAATGTAGGTATAGATTAATCCAATCTTCTATATAATAGTGTTAAACATTCAGAAATATCATGTTGAACATTCAGAAATACCAACTGTGATAGCGTTAGTCTTAAGTTAAGAAAAAACAACTGGTTTTGGTTTCGTTTTTAATTTTTGTTTGCGACGAAGCTGAAGCACTAATGTTTTACTGTTTAATAAATACTTTTTGGAAAAAGAATTGCTAAGAAACAAAAAGTTATAAGACATTTTGAAAGTAACCTTTCAAAAAGATTGATGTTTCGGAAGTATCGCCTAAAGCTAATTAATAGGCTATATGCCCATAGCCTGGTTTTAAACTGGTGAACTAAAGAGAAGGCCGTTAACAAGAACAAACACCGTCAACTCGTGGGTTGATCTTGTCCGACCAATTAGTGGGATTTGACCGTTACTCTTATTAGAACAGCGCGGAGCGCATTTTTGTGACAAGGAAATGCGAATTCCGGATTCCAGGCTACGCTAGCCACTACGCCACGCCTGGCCCGTACATCATTTTTATTAGTGAATGGATATTTAACAATTTTTTTATACCGTTATTCTAATACTTCTCGTATTTTTTTCCGTTCCGTTGTGTCAGGACTGGTAGTCTGTAGAAATAGGATTTTTTTTAGACGATTTTTTAAACCTATAATAATCAG